TGTAGATCTAGTGAGTTTGACTAGGGGCTAGGAGTGGCAAAGAACTGAGAAATAATTTGAAATAAAGTGTGAGAATAGCTTTTCTGCACGTGCACAATATTTGAATAGTACATTTAACGGGAAACATCACTCAAAGAACTTATTTTCCTCGACTGAAGGGAGGGTCATAAAATATGGAAACCGATATAGGTGATTACATGTGATACTATTAGTAACTGTTTCGATAAAGTGGACTAGCGTATAAGTACTTCTAACCCTTCAGTCGAGGGTTGAGCGAGTCGTAGCGACGAGCGTTACTTGTTTGTTTTCATGATACAATAATATCAATAGATTCTTTTTCTTCTACTTCATATTCTTGTATTTTTCAGTCTTTAATGTATTTAGTTAAACTATCAAGGATATCACCAAATCTACGATTAACATTACACGTTAATGATAACGTTTTCTTGTATACTATAAGACAACCACTAAAGAGAATATTGTATATATAACTCTAGAAACAATAGTCTAGTTTAGAAAACCTATTCATATAAATCTGAACATTTCGTGTAAGAATGTATATTTTGAAAAGATTAGAATTGTCTCATGTTTAGAACACAATTTTGATAAAATTAATAAAAGAATTAATTTATTGTTCTATGAGTTTTCAATTTGCATAGAACCAGGTTGACTGTTACGAAAAAAACAAACATGAGCTAATTGTTTTTTTTTCTGATAACTAAATTCATCAAGCTTTCTATTATTTTTATCATATTTTCATGAATTGTAATTTACAATTTAATAAATGACAAAAGAAAAAACCACATATAAACTAATCAAAAAGTGTTTGTTCAGTTTGTTCAACAACATAATCAATTATATCTATAAATTGTTGTGTTTTGTGTGCTTCGACAATTGTTTCACTGACAGAAAAAAGACATCTTAAAAGATTTGAAAAACGTATTACAGCTTCGTGATGACCATATTTATATAAAAGATATCGCCATGTTAAATCTGTATACATATCTTGAATAGGTAAAATTGTTGTGATATTTGTTAAATTAATTGGTATATTTTTTCTATATACAGTATAATTGATTGTTGAAAAAGCAAGAATTGTAAGTACTAATTTAATAAATGTATCATCAGAATCAAATTGATCAATAACACGTTGTGCAAAAAACATAACAGATGGTGGAAATATTATTTCAGCAGATTTAAAGAATGTTAAATCATTTAATAATTTTGCTTGATGTAAAAGAAACATTCCACCAATAGTTGCTGTATATTCAGCTGTACTTTCAAGTAAAATAGTTCGATCATGTGGAGATAATAAAAGAAAATCACGATTTCTTTCGAATACACGTTGAACTTTACTCATCATTAATATAAAAAAATGATTAACTGATGAATATTTGAATCGTAATTTGAGTGGTAATCGATTTTGTTCGTCTATAAAACGTTCAACAAATGCATATCCACTATTTTCATCGAAACAATTAACTAAATTTGATAAAAGATTCCATTGATCCATACTTAATATTGATCGATTCAATTCTAAGAGATTCAATGTTGGAATCTCAAAGAAAAAGAAACAAAATTAAATAAAAAAAA